TGTGTGAGGAATGAAGGTGCCTCTGTGCATGGTGCCTTGTTCAAGGAGTTTCCACAAGCTTCAGCAGTTCTAAAACCATGTCCAGTGATTGTAAATATGTAAATATATGATAGAACATTAGTATATATACAAGATTTGTGCATGTTTGTAATAAACAAAAGTGGTAAACAATAATATGATAATAACTTTAGTGCAGTTTATTGTGTTCAATACAGTGAGTTTATATAATACATTATATACAGCATTGGTCTCTCAGCCCCAAATGTAAGTAGGAAAAGAAAAGAAAAAAAAAAATACAAAAACTGCTAAATAAAGTAATGCGCGTATGTGAAAATCGTCGATGTTGCCGCCACCAGGTCATTTTGGACAAACTTTCTCGGCACTGTATCTCAGTAGTACTGATCAGAATTTTTTTTTTTGTCTTATTACCTTCACAAAAATATACTCTTTAATTCTGTAAGAATTTTTTTTTTTTTTTTTTTTTTTTCAAAATTTCTTGGAGACTGGAGCACCGCTTCAGATTTTGGCCTTGGACCCTGAAGGGTTAAAATGCCGACTTTGTGGTCTATTTATCGTATAGTATTTATGTTGTATTCTTGGTCTCATTTGATAGAATGGAAAACATGTTACAGAAAGAGAGGTAATTTTGATTGGTTTTACTATAAAATAACCTGGAAATGGAGCTCAAAGTAGGGAAATGTTTGATTTTTGCCTATGTTCAAAAGTAAACAAATGATGTCATTGTCCAATAAATGTCCAACTAGCCATCTAATATGCAGTCATGAATGGGTTGACATTATTTATACAATTATTACAGTATTGCAGTAGTCTGCATAACAGTAAATCCTCTATTTTTTGTTTGAACAAAAATTCAAAATAGAAAGCAAGAGTAATATCAGAGGGGCCTGGAGACATGACTGATGAACAAAGAAAAATATTATTTAGAGCCAATGACCCATGACTACGTTATGGGTAGTTAAGATCAGTAAATGGGCAGTTTCTTGTTCTCAATCGATAGAAAAAACGGAGTTCTAAAGAAATAGCTATGAGTTTGGTCAACTGGAACAATGGAATTAGCCGAAAATAGGGCTCAAAGTGGGCAAAATCACCGATTTGTAAATATCGCTGAGGTCACTAACTTCGCGAGAGCGTAATTCCGTCAGTTTTCCATCAAAATTTTTTTTTTTTTTTTTTGGTGTCAATACAATCAGGAAAAGATTCTCTATCATTTCATAAAAAAAAAATAATTTTTTTTTTTTTTTAAATTTTGTGACACCAGGAGACACCTCAGGATTGGGGGTTGCGACAGTCAAAGGGTTAACTAGTCACACCTGTAATAACAAAAACCTGCCACTGTATTTAACCTCTGTAAGCCAGTAACAGATTCATAGACCTGTTTTACACCTGTTATGTCATGTGACTTATACTTGGTGTGCACATAGGCATACACGTATTCACTGTGGTGCCAGTATAAGGCACTCTGCAGGCTTCTAGGATAATTTACCTTCCAGGGAATACTCAGATAATTATTGAGAAGAGAGTTTTGTGTGATGAGTTGAGAAGAGAGTTTGTGTGACGAGTTAAGACAGAAATTAAAATTTCACAGGTTTAATTTTTTTTTTTAATTTATTAAATTTAATCAGAGCAAATGCTAAACCCACATATTAGTCATTCAGTGACTGGAGGATGGGAGTCATTCATGTTTGATCCAAGGAAGAGGATTATACCTGTTCCATGAATAATGAGTCCCTGAGCAGCATCAAGGCATCTTACTTAACCCTTAAACTGTCCAAACATAGACCTGTGTTTGCACCGCTAACGCTCCGAGCGCACATCTATGTTTTATTTTACATGCTTTCAAATGTAAAAAAAAAAATGTAGATCTACATTCGGAGCGCTAGTGGTGCAAACGTAGATCTATGTTTGGACAGTTTAAGGGTTAAAGTTTCACAAGAGTAACTGAATGATCAACATTACAAGGAGAGGCAAAGCTTGTGAGTGCTGACAAACTACTGAAAATAAAACTAATTATTATTATGGGGGAGCGCTAAACCTGTAGGGATTATACAGTGCATGTAGGGGGCAACATGGACGGCATTCAGGATTGATTCAGGGAAGTGGTGACAGGTCCATGAACATATAACTATGATCTTGCAAGTTGACACCGTACACAATGGTGGTGGCCACACACTTCTCCATGATTTTAATCATCATCAACCAGAATTAACAGACGGAGGATCGAGCCTCCACCACGTCTTGTACTAAATAATCCACATGAGTTTAGTGTTTAACATAACTGCAAAGAAAAGTAATATAAATACCCTTCATATCTAATGCTGGAAATCTTTCCTTTAGTTTAAATCTACCAAGCATTAACCTGCTCTTATAACAGGTGCAAATACTGCATTATTATTATAATTATTACATTTATGTGGAGGTCCAATTCTTGTAATCAACAGCCACACACCAGCATCAATAAATACTGCTAGAGATTTTAAAATTAATTTATTCATGGTGGTGTGTGGCTGTTGATTCAAAGAATTGGACCTACCCTCCCTCCATCCCTCCCCTTCCTTGGAATTAATCCAAGTATCTGTAATTCTTCCAGGTACTGTACAACCCCTATGTGTTTAGCACCTCCATATAAATGTAATAATAATAACAATAATAATAATTAGTATGACATGGAGAGCATATAAATCTGTAGGGGAAGGAAGGCGGGGTAGGGGTCGTCCTCGAAAAGGTTGGAGGGAGGGGGGCAAAGGAGGTTTTGTGGGCAAGGGGCTTGGAATTCCAGCAAGTGTTCGTGAGCATGTTAAACAGGAGTGAATGGAGACGAATGGTATTTGGGACCTGACAAGCTGCTGGAGTGTGAGCAGGGTAATATTTAGTGAAGGGATTCAGGGAAACTGGTTATTTTATGTAGCCGGACTTGAGTACTGGAAATGGGAAGTAGAATGCCTGCACTTTAAAGGAGGGGTTTTGGATATTGGCAGTTTGGAGGGATATGTTGTGTATCTTTATACATATATGCTTCTAAACTGTTGTGTTCTGGGCACCTCTGCAAAATCAGTGATTATGTATGAGTGAGGTGAAAGTGTTGAATGATGATGAAAGTATTTTCTTTTTGGGGATTTTCTTTTTTTTTGGGTCACCCTGCCTCGGTGGGAGACGGCCGACTTGTTAAAAAAAAAAAAAAAAAAAAAAAAAAAAAAAAAAAAAAAAAAAAAAAAAAAAAAGATATATAATAGGAATAAGGTAAAATGAGTTATTTATATTTACATGTGTGTTAGCTAAAAAAAATTAAAAAATCGTTCTCCTTCCATTCTGTCACTACATTCATTAGGCACCTTTTGGCTCTCTTCTTAAACTGGTTCATGCTATAGTTGGCTTTGACATGTGCAGGCAGTCTGTTTCATTCCTTTATTGCTGTACAATAAAAGGTGTTTGAAGCCTGGCTGCTAACTGTGGGTACTACAAAGTTGTGCTCTCTCCCCCTAGTACCATAATTGCTTTGGTTCCCAGCCTTGACAAAATTGGCAGAAAGATATTCTGGACAGGGTTTGTGAGCAATTTTATAAACTTGATTAAACTTAAGTTGTTTTACTCTGTCTTTAACATTCAGCATATCCAATTGTTCTAATTCATCCTGGCCTACATGCTCTCTTGAACCCAGGTCCAACAGGTTTATATCAACACAACTGCCAAATACGTAGTGCTGAGAAGTGGTAGTCACAGGTGAGGTGTAGGTCAAGTGACCTGTAAGGTGTAGGTGAAGTGACTCGTGAGGTGAAGGTGAAGTGACCTGTCAGGCATAAGTAGTTACCACTTATAAGAGTTCTGGCTTAACCCTTTGACTGTTTCAGTCGTATATATACGTTTTACGAGCCAGTGTTTCTGACATATTAGTATACTAAAATTCTAGTGGCTTCACATCAAGCGGGGAAAAAGCTGGTAGGCCCACATGTGAGAGAATGGGTCTGTGGTCAGTGTGTGCAGTATAAAAAAAAATCTTGCAGCATGCAATGCAAGAGAAAAAAAAAACTCCAACCGTGATTTTGGATTAAAACACTGACTTTGAGGTGTATTTTCATGTAGTATTTATAGTTGTATTCTCATTTTCTTGGTCTCATTTATAGAATGGAAGATATATTACAGAAACAGAGATGATTTTGATTGGTTTCATGATGAAAAGGACCTTGAAATTGAGCTCAAAGTAGCGGAAATGTTCAATTTTTGCCGATGTTCAAGAGTAAACAAATGACGTCACCGTCCAATAAGTGTCCAACTAGCCATTCTAATATGCAGTCACGAATGGGTTGACATTATTTATACAATTATTAAAATAATGCAGTAGTCTGCATAACAATAAATCTTCTATTTTATGTGTGAATAAAAATTCAAAACAGAAAGCAAGAGTAATATAAGAGGGGCCTGAAGACATGACTAATGAACAAAGAAAATGTTATTTTAGTGCCAGTAATGTCTGCATTGTTTATTCTGGACCCTATTTTGAAATTGGCATATTTTTTAATTTGTGTGAAATTGGCCAAATTGCTAATTTCTGACCACTTTATTGGCTAGTTGAAATCTGTAAATGGGCGGTTTCTTGTACTCAATCAATAAAATAGATGGAGTTCTAAAGAAATAGCATGAATTTGGTCAACTGGAACAATACAATTGTCCTAAAACAGGGCTTAAAGTGGGCAAAATCACCGATGCATATATATAGCCGAGATCGCTAACTTCGTGAGAGCGTAATTCTTCAAGTTTTCCACCAAATTTCATACTTTTGGTGTCATTACCACCGGGAAAAGATTCTCTATCATTTCATAAGTTTTTTGTATTTTTTTTTCAATATTTTGCAACACAGAGAGACTTTAGGATTTGGGGTCGCAACAGTCAAAGGGTTAAAAATGTAAGAAAATATAGTTCTTTTTCGGGTCACCCTGCCTTGGTGGGAGACAGCCAGTGTGTAAAAAAATTATGATTCTTATTACCTGTAGTTCTTCACTAGTCCACTGGTCAGCATGTTCAGGTAGTGGCTGCAACTTGAGTATCAGGTTGTATGAGGGACTGCTCTGCACCAGTATCTGGCAGTTGAGAGTCTCTGTCTTGAACTGTATACTGCCAGACTCAACACCGCCCACAGGCTTCATCTGAGGATCAAATAAATAATACAGTGTCTGGGGGAAATGGAAGACAATCACGTTCAATATGAGAAAAGGGAGATTAGGTGTTGGAAAGTGTATCCCTCACCAGTACTTAGGTACATACCTGCCTTGAGGGACTACCATCATGAGTACTGACTACTGAAACATGAGTACTCAATACTGAATCATGAGTACTTACTGAATCATGAGTACTCACTACTGAATCATGAGCATTCCCTACTGAATCATGAGCACTGACTAGTTAATCATGAGTACTCACTACTGAGTCATGAGTACTGACTAGTGAATCATGAGTACTCACTACTGAGTCATGAGTACTGACTAGTGAATCATGAGTACTCACTACTGAATCATGAATACTCACTATTGAATCATGAGCACTGACTAGTTAATCATGAGTACTCACTATTGAGTCATGAGTACTGACTAGTGAATCATGAGTACTCACTACTGAATCATGAGTACTCAACTACTGAATCATGAATGCTCACTACTGAATCATGAGTACTGACTACTTAATCATGAGTATTGACTACTGAAACATGAGTATTCACTACAGAATCATGAATACTCACTACTGAATCATGAGTACTGAATTGTAAGTACTGACTAGTGAATCATGAGTATTCATTACCGAATCAAGAGTACTGACTACTGAATCATGAGTACTGACTACTGAATTAGAAATGAACACTGATTAATTAGTACTCACTACTGAATTGTGAGTACTGACTGCTTAATCTAGAGAAATGACCACAGAAACAAGAGTACTGACTACTGAATTAAAAGTACTGACTACTGATTAATTAGTATACAATACTGAATTGTGAGTACTGACTATTGAATCTGCAGTACTGACCACTGTATCATGAGTACTGACTGCTGAATCATGAGTAGTCACTACTAAATCATAAGTACTCACTACTAAATCATGAGTACTGACTACTGAATCATGAGTACTCACTACTAAATCATGAGTACTCCTACTAAATCATGAGTACTCACTAATGAATCATGAGTGTTGACTACTGAAACATGAGTAATGAGTACTGAATTGTGAGATCTGTCCAATGAATCATAAGACCTGACTAATGAATCATGAGTACTCACTACTGAATCATGAATACTGACTGAATTATGAATACTGACTACTGAATCATGACACCTGACTACTGAATCATGACACCTGACTACTGAATCAAAAGTACTGACTACTGAATCAAGAAAACTTACTGAATCATGAGTACTACTGAATCAAGAGTACTGACCACTGAATCATGAATACTGACTACTGAATGAAGAGCACTGACTACTGAATCATGAAACCTGACTACTGAATCACGAGTACTCACTAATGAATCATGAGTACTGGCCACTTAATCATGAGATCTGACTAATGAATCAAGAGTACTGACTATGGAATCATGAGACCTGACTACTGAATCGTGAGACCTGACTACTGAATCATGAGTACTCACTTCTGAATCATGAGTAATGACTACTGAATCGAGTATTGACTACTGAACCAAGTATGACTATGAATCATAATGACTATGAAATATGAGTACTAGAAAAAGAGACCAAAATACTGAATCATGACACCTGACTACTGAATCATGAGTACTCACTATTGAATCGTGAGTACTGACTACAGCACCAAGAGTACTAGTGAATCAAGAGTACTGACTACGAATCAAAAGGGACTCTTACTGAATCATGAGACCTGACTATGAATCATGATACTCACTATTGAATCGTGAGTACTGCTACCTCAAAAGTCTATGAAACAAGAGAAAAATGAATCAAGAGTACTCATTACCTGAATCAGAACTGCTACTGAAACATGAGACCTGATAATGAAAAGGGAAATGCTACTAAAACAAAAGTATGATACGAATCGAGTCTGACTGCTGAATCAGAGACTGACTACTGAATGAGTATGACTACTGAATCATGATACTGACCCGTCATGAACCCACTATGAATCATGAACCCGACGACTGAATCAAGAGTAGACTCTGAATCTGAGTACGACTACTGAAAAAGAGACCGGGCAAAAGAATCAAGAGTGCTGCCACTGAACCAAGAGTATGACTATGGATCATGGTACTGATTACGAAATTAAAATACTGATACTAATCAAGAGTACTGACTAGAATCATGGTACTGACCACTGAATCATGAGTATGACTATGAATCAAGGGTATGATACTAATCAGGGGTATGACTACTGAAAACATGAGACCTGCTACCGAATCATAAAACTTACACTGAAAACAACAGTTCTGATATGAAACATGAGACCCGACTTTGAATCAAATATGACTACTGAATAGAGACCTGATACTGAATCATGAGACCCAAATATAAATTATGAGACCGATCTGAATCATGAGACCTGATACTGAACAAAGACCTGGGGCTATGAATCATAAGACCTGACCTAATCATAAGACCTGACTAAGAACATGAGACCTGCTACTGAATATGTTACCTGATACTGAAACATGAACTGATACTGAATCATGAGACTGACTACTGAATCATGAACCTGACTACTGAATCATGGACCTGACTAGAATTTTAATACCTGTACTGAATCAAGAGTACTGACTATGAAACAAGAGACCTTTACTAGTGAATTTGAGTATGAAGAATATGAACCCGACTATGAATCATGTACGTGACTACTGAATCATGAGACCTCTAACCCAATATGAGACCCGACTACTGAATATAGACCTGACTACTGAATCATAAGCCTAAATATGAATCATGAAAAACTATGAATCAAAGTACTGATTACTGAACATGAGACCCGACTATGAATCTTCAGTATGATACTGGGAAAATGGCCTGATAGAATCATGAGACCTGATACTGAATCTGAGACCTGACTACTGAACATGGACCGACTCTGAAAATGAGGCCTGACTACTGAATCATGATCGACTACTGAATCAGAACCTGATACTGAATCTTAGTACTGACTACGAATATGAGACTGATATGAATTTGAGTACTGATACTGAATCATGAGACCTCACTGAATCATGGACCTGACTACTGAACATAGACCGACTACTGAACATGGGGACCCCCCGATACTGAATCAGAGACCCAATACTGAATCTGAGACCCGACTACTGAATCATGAGACCTGACTAATGAAACATGAGACCGACTATGAATCATGAGAGTACTGAATCATGAGACCTAAATACTGAAACATGAGACCTGATACTGAATCATGGTTGACTCTGAATCATGAGACTAATACAAATCTAACAAAAATGTTTAACAAAATGGAGCAACTATTATACCAAAATATGATAAACCACAGGGTTTCAGAAGCAACATTAAAAATAATAAATAAAATTTGCAACAAGTTTTGCTGTTTTCGTTTTATGGGTCGTGGTCAGTCCTTGGGGGGCTTTCACAGCGAAACAATGTTAAATGCAGTACACAGGGGTTTAGTGTTAGTATGCGGTGTTCTAGTGTCTAGTATGCAGGTGTTTAGTGTACAGTAAAGCGGTGTTCTATTGTACTGGGTAAAGGGGTTCTAGTGTACTAGTTGCAGGTGTTCTAGGTACTGTAGCAGGAGTGTCCTATGACTAGTACGCAGGTGGTGTCCTAGTGTACTATAGCAGGTGGTGTTTAGTGTATAGTAGCAGGTAGTGTCCCAGTGTAAGTATCAGGGGCTGTTCAGTGTACTAGTACGCAGGTAGGTCCAGTGTACTAGTCGCAAGGTGGTGTCCCAGTGTACTAGTATGCAGGTGGTGTTCTAGTGTACTAGTATGCAGGTGGTGTCCTAGTGTACTAGTACGCAGGTGGTGTCCTAGTGTACTAGTATGCAGGTGGTGTTCTAGTGTACTAGTATGCAGGTGGTGTTCTAGTGTTTCTAGTATGCAGGTGGGGGTTCTAGTGTACTAGTATGCAGGGTGGTGTCCTAGTGTACTAATATGCAGGTGGGGTTCTAGTGTACTAGTATGCAGGGGTGGTGTTCTAGTGTACTAGTACGCAGGTGGTGTTCTAGTGTACTAGTATGCAGGTGGTGTCCTAGTGTACTAGTACGCAGGTGCTGTTCTAGTGTACTAGTACGCAGGTAGTGTCCTAGTGTACTAGTACGCAGGTGGTGTCCTAGTGTACTAGTATGCAGGTGGTGTTCTAGTGTACTAGTATGCAGGTGGTGTCCTAGTGTACTAGTATGCAGGTGGTGCCCTAGTGTACTAGTACACAGGTGTTCTAGTGTACTAGTATGCAGGTGTTCTAGTGTACTAGTACGCAGGTGTTCTAGTGTACTAGTACGCAGGTGTCCTAGTGTACTAATATGCAGGTGGTGTCCTAGTGTATTAATACGCAGGTGGTGTCCTAGTGTACTAGTATGCAGGTGGTGTCCTAGTGTACTAGTATGCAGGTGGTGTCCTAGTGTACTAGTACACAGGTGGTGTCCTAGTGTACTAGTATGCAGGTGGTGTCGTAGTGTACTAGTATGCAGGTGGTGTCCTAGTGTACTACTATGCAGGTGTGTCCTAGTGTTCTAGTACCCCAAATGTGGTGTCCTAGTGTACTAGTCTGCAGGTGGTGTCCTAGTGTACTAGTACACAGGTGGTGTCCTAGTGTACTAGTATGCAGGTGGTGTCCTAGTGTACTAGTATGTAGGTGGCGTCCTAGTGTACTAGTACGCAGGTGGTGTCCTAGTGTACTAGTATGCAGGTGGTGTCCTAGTGTACTAGTATGCAGGTGGTGGTCCCAGTGGTTTCTAGTACACAGGTGGTGTCCTAGTGTACTAGTATGCAGGTGGTGTCCTAGTGTACTAGTATGTAGGTGGCGTCCTAGTGTACTAGTACGCAGGTGGTGTCCTAGTGTACTAGTATGTAGGTGGTGTCCCTAGTGTACTAGTAACAGTTGGTGTCCTAGTGTACTAGTATGCAGGTGGTTTTTCCTAGTGTATAGTATGCAGGTGGTGTCCTAGTGTATAGTAC